GGATGCCCTCGGACGCGCTTCCTCCCCCCCGTCTTCCTGTCGTCCCTCTCCCCACGCGCTGAAGTGTTTAACAAGGGATATTTAAGGAGGCTTCCTTCCAGGCCGCCGCTTCCAGGAGGCCCTGGGGAGGCGCGGTTGGCTGTGTGAGTTGGAAGAAGTGCTTTAAAGGTTCTTCTGTGGCAGGATGTGAGCTTTTCTGGCGTGGTGCGGGCAGATGAGCTAACCCCTTCCTCTTCATTTGACTTTCATTGTTTGCCACCAGCCACTCTACGACGTTTTCATCCTCGCCGGGATATCCGTTTCCCAACTGGCCGTTCCTCCGTCTTTGCGGCCAGGAGGCAGCTGATTCTCCGTCCTCCTGAGCAGCGTTAGGATGGGATTTTTTTCCTCCCAGTCTTCTTGAAAAGGAAGGAAACTGCAGGTGTGTTTGGCCTCGACGGGATGCTCTAGCTGTGACCTGGCCAAGCCACTGGCTGGGTTTGTTTTTCTGAAAAAAAAAACGTCACCTCCCAGGATGGTGTTTGGGAGAAAATTCCACCCCCCACCCGCCATTTATCTTCCCAAAATGATTTATAACCATTCCCTCCTAGATGAAGGCTGTTGGCCTGCGTGACCGGGAGCGAACGCCGTGGTTTGGCATCTCGTAGCGACTTGCCTTCGTTCCCTGCTTAATGGGGCACCGGGGAATTGCCGCGCAAACCAGTTTCCTTACTGGGTTGTGCCTCCTGTGGTTTTTGACAGCGGGGTAGGCTCGGCTGGCAGCGAGCTTTCGGCAGAGTTAACCACACCAGCCTGAAAAGTAGAGCAAGCCAGAAGCTTGGAATTTCCTTCCGTGTTGCCAGTCATCAGCTGGCGAAACTGGGACGCTCTCAGGTAGTTGTTTTTCTTTTTTTTTAATATTTTTTTTTTCCCTTTTTCCTCTTCATTGATTAGATAAAACACACGGCTGTTCCGGAGGCTCTTTGAACAGCGTCAGCGGTCGTGAGGATCTAAAGACAGCGGCGAGGTTGGGGCAGGTTACTTAAAGAGAGACTGGGGCTGAAAGTTGGTGGTTTTTGTCTCTTCAGCGAGGTTTTTCCGCGCAGTCGCTCCGGTTGCAAAACACCAACACCTTTGCTAAGGCAGGTGCAAGCCCCGGGCAGAAGCTGACACGCTTACAGCCGCGCTCCGCCGGCGTTCGGGGGTGATTAACGCGTCTTTCCGCCGACGGATGACTCGGCAGCTGCGCCGCAAAGGGAAGGAGAAGCGCAGTAAGGCTCCGCTCCGCTCCGACGAGTCCTCGGGTGCACCTCGGGCAGGGCAGGGACTTTTTTTTGGGAAGGAGGGTTCTTGCAGCAAGCAGCAGGAAA